TTTAGCAAACTTCTTTTGCTTCTGCAAAGTTTTTACAATTTCTGCAACTTTTCAGCTTTTTCAGCTACTTTTTGCATACAGCTTCAGCTTTAAGCATCCACACTGCATTTTCGCAGGAAATGCAAATTTTTCTAGTATTAAATAAATTCTAACAACAGCTGATCAAGCTTAAACGTGCTGCTGTTGTTCAGCCGCTGGTTTCCTCTTTCTGGTGCAAAATGGGCCAAAAGCAAACTAGAGACACGGACTCGCGACAGAAAAGCCGATCAGCTGATCGTTAAGCAGTTTCATGATTGAAGTAGCAGCAGGAGAGGCAGTCGTTTGTTAAGCTTAACGCAGGAATGCTTTACAAACATTCAGAGATGGACTTACACACTTGCTTTACTTCTCTCGGGATAACTTTGTCGGAGATGAAATGCCGGGTTGCTAGCAAAGCTCCAAATGCTATCCAGACCACCGACAGGTCCCGCATGCCACAGCCGCTCTATCACGTGATGCATACTGCTCCGACGTGCTAACGTTCTGAGGTGAGTTACGGCGTGTTGCAAGTTTTGTGAGGTGCTTTCGTGATATTCAATGGATCGGATTACATTTTTTATTTTTCTCCGATATCCGATCCAGTAATTTAGGTCAGTATCGGACCGATACCGATACGTAATATCGGATCGGTCCATCTCTAGTTTCTATACAGCTGGGTGGGTGCTTTGATGTTACTGATAGTGAACTTTATTTTATTCATAAGGTTCGTTAGTCGAGTTGCCAACCGTGCCGTAAAAAACAGAATCGTCCCGCATTCAGAGAAAACATCACGTGTTTGGTATTGAGCTGAAAAGGAACACAGTTTGTCCTGTACTTCAGCTACAATGAAAAAGACACAAAGCTGCAGTTATTCTGCATCTTTACGCTGTCAGCTGCCTCTTCTTCTCTCATTCAATCATGAAACTGATCAATGATCAGCTGATCGGTATTTCTGAGCAAGTCCCGTCTCTCCTTTGTTTATCGCCCACTTTGCGCCAGAAAGAGGAAACCAGCGGATGTCGCGCTAAACAACAGCAGCGCGTTTAAGCTTGATCATTAGAATTTATTTAATATTAATTTCTAGTATCAGCTGATGTTTGCTGGAGCCACAGCTGTAAAAGCTGCTGGTCATGATATCGGTTTGTATCAAGGGCATAGATTTGGCATGGACGGAAGGGACATGTCCCCACCAATATCCAGCGATTATTGAATTGTCCCCACCAATAATTTGATCTCTTTGAGTAAAGAAAAACAAACCCGACAGAAAGAAAAAAACGATCTGTCAACGTCTCATTCGCCTAGCTGTGAAGAAAGAGTTAAATTACGTTCCATACTGGAGTCCTACATCATGTGACAAATATGGCCAATGTGATTGGTTGTGCCTTTCAAGGAGCTCTGTTTAGTTTTAGCAGCGGCCGGCAAGCCTGCGCCGCTAGGACCTGCAAGGAGGAGAGGAGGATGACAGCAAAAGGAAGAACCTGGATATAAGAAAGTATTTTTCAAAGAAACCTGTAAGTCACTTAAAGTCAAGCTCACTCATAAAATGTGTCCGTCACAATAACGTTACAGGCTATGCTAGGCTTTGGCCCACATCAGTCTAAAACTGTATGTAACCACGAATAACGTGTTTTGGAAACTAACTGCACAACATGCAGCACTATTAGTTCTCTCAGTCTCAGAGCAGCATTTCTAATTTTGATTGAAAGTGTCAGAGAAAACAGCAGCCTCAAGTAAGCCAGGATATTAGTTTACAGAGGCTGTTAGAATTATATGTCTAAAGTTAAAATGTTGGTGACACAATAATTTCATCCTAATGGTCCTGACATATTCATAGGGTTAATTTTTTAGACAAAATATCATGAGATAGTCAGGATTTTGCAAATATTCCACCCTGTAGTGCAGTTTGCACAAATTGTTTTAAAAACTCACTCACCCTACAAACATTACTGATGAGTCAAGATCTGCACAAAGTGACAGAAACACTGAAGCAGCTCCACATTTTATTCTTATTGTCATGTATGTCCTATTTGTCAGGTGATAGAAAGTAATGGTGACACAAGATCACAGGTGAAATTGGATGATGACTTGTTGGTTCATTAGTGTATTTGAAGCACATGTGTGACTGCATGTATGTGGAATGTCTCACTGTTATTGATCAGGTGACAGAGGCAGCTCTGCCATGTTGTAGCTCAGAGGTGAAGAGGCGAGGTCACAGGTGACTGGCTGATGATTTGGTGCTATAGATTAACTAGTATTTATTATCATGACAATTGTTAGGCTGCTGATGTAAATTGATTCATTAGTGTATATTTGACAAAGAATCTGAATTGACATGTCTCACTTTTTATATGGCACGAATCAATTTTATCAGGTGGCAATATGTCCTAGTGCAGTCAGAGGGGAAGAGCCAGGGCCAAAGGTGAGGCACATCACGCACTTAATAATAATTTTAATCTGAGGATAAAACGCAGGTACTGAGGCTGAAAGAAGCTTCAGTGCTCTCAGAAGACTAAAAACATGGCTACGGTCAACAGTGACTCAAATGAGATTAAACAATGCTGCTGTGTGTCCACCAGGAGACACTGGACAGTATAGATGTAAAACCAATATGCCAGCAGTTTATCTCAGTTAACGAGAGGAGAAGGCCTGTGTTTGGCTCCTTCACATAGTCCACATTGAGTTGTTGTGTGGGACATGTCTGTTGTTCGTGTCTGTTGCTGTAACAGTAGTTCATGTTTAGAATAAAACATCCCAGCTCACTGATTTGATCGGGGCAATAGTGCCTAAAATGTTGCATAATTTTGCTGAGAGATCTTGTACTTTGTGGTAATCTTAGATGAGTAGTTTTATGGACAAAAACCACCAGGTCATTCAGTGTTCCCTTAGTGCTAATGTATCAGAGATGTTGGTGCACTATAACTGAACTAATGTTGTTAAGTCCTTAAAGTCATATTCTTTTATTGTCATGACTGTATTTGAAGCTATTTTTATGTTTGTATGATACCTGATTTATATGAAATATGCCTGAAGTGAATTAAACTCTAAAATACTTAGTCAGTCATTTGTTTAATAGTAATTTAACATTATATAATTCACATATAAAACTATGAATTGTGATTTTAAATGGTTTAAAAGCATGCAGAATAGGATATGTAGGCAAGTATATTTCTCCTTTTTTATCAAGAAGCAAAGACAAAAAGGAAACAAAAAAGAAACAGGGCAGGGTTCGATGGTTGAATCATCTGTCCCCACCAATGCCAAAACCAAATCTACGCCCTTGGTTTGGATATGTGGTGAGAGGGAAACATGAAGATGAAACCAGGAGATGTCCTTACTGAATCATCAGAGTTGTGATGGAGAAACAGGTTTATCTTTTAGGTGACATGAATGAGTTGAAGGGAAGTTATGAACTGTTTCTGAGAGACAAATAACACCAGGATCCCTTTCTATGTAGCTGACAGCTGGTAACTGTGCAGGGGCGGATCTAGCAAAGTTTTGCCAGGGGGCCAGGTAGGGCATTAACAGGGAGAGGGGGGCACAAAGAAATACTTTCTTATTCTCATTTAAAATAATAATCTGAATCTTACAACCAAAGTTTTTACCTGATGTAAAACGTATAGAAATCGTATATATACCAACAAGACTGTACATCACTGTCACAACAGCGTTTGTTTTCATTCAAAGGCTTTATGGATTTTCCTGTAATACCTGGTGGGCCGGTCTCTAATCAAAATGCCCGGGCCGATTTTTGTCCCAGTCCAGCCCTGTGCACGACACGCAGTAAATTAATCTGAGAAGGTGCATTAAAAAATAAATGGCCGGGCCAGCGGTGCGCATCGCAAATTAGCTCGCATAGACACATTAGTTGTACTGGTTCTTAATGACGGTATCTTAGCTAACAACCCCAACTACCAGATTCAACTTGTAATTGGCTAAAAATCACTTAGCCTACTGGTGAGAGGGACGTTGCTAGCTCTCAGTTTTTTCAAGCGATGTTGAAATTTCCACATTCCGACACTTCAAATGCTTCAGGAGCTCTCCGCTCAGCGCAGTAACTGTTAATATAGAGCATTATTAAATTTATTGCTAATGCAATTATATGGCACATTGACTTCTGAGGAAATTTTAGATAGCACTTGTCATCAAAAAGGTTGCCTACCCCTGGACTAGATGATGTTAGCACATGCTGTATGCTTTGTACACTGAACCCGCCTGGTGTAGAATGTCACAGAGGTTTGTCACTTAGGTTGTCATCACAGAAAGATGCCCTCGTATTGCTTACCACAAAATACCTGGCAACGTGCACATAGAAACCTCAGCATTTACCTTTTAAGGTAAAGCTCCTGAAACTGTTTTGTTTGCTGCATGTCTTCCATGCATAAACAAAACAGATTAAAGCGCTGATTAGCTAAAACGAGAGAGGAGCTATGGTGACGCTGTGTTGTGATAATTTAAAATGCCCTTGAGGAAGAGGTCAGGAGTTTAGTGTTCAGATGACCTCTGACATTAGATCGCTCAGGCTCTGTGACTTCTGAGAAATAAGAGGTCAGCGCTCCAGTTCTACGACACAAATTTCCCACAGGGCTTCATCTCTTCTAACGGTATGTACTATTTCTAAAGTTGCTTTTAAATGCTAGTTGCATGAGGAAGAAAAAAGGTCAAAGTGAACACATACCAACTTGGGTTGAGGGAGAAAGTTGTTGACCCTGGATATGCTCCACATGCCCTCGAGGTACTGCTGGGCTTGGATTGTGACGGTGCTCAGAGATCCAGGGAGCTGCCCTCCTGCCACTGTCACCTGGACACTGGTCTTTGGCCCTGAAGTGCTAGCTGCGTTCTGGGACCAGCTTGGTACCCCATGGCGCTCCCTACTGGCAGGACAGAGTGGGGAGAGGGCTGACTTTTCGAGACTTGTTTTGTTTGGATGCTGGAGGACGACACAGTGAATCTAGAAGGCTGTGGTATAAAGATGTTTTGGGCAAGGCAGCCATGTTGGAGCTGAAGGCCAAGACAGGAGCATGGAGTGTCTGCAAGGCCTCCTGCCTCAGTTGGTGGAGAGGTGTAGAGCAAACTTGGCAGCATCCAGGTTCATGATTCCCAGGAGTTTGGAGCTGCTCGAACAGGAAGGTTGCATACCCGGGTCCTGCAGAGAAAAACAAGAAATGCACTTTAGCTCAAAGCACAGCATTCGGAACAGAAACACTTTGAAGGAAACATGTTTTTTCCAAAGCATAACCACATTACAATTTTTTGTATATATGTATTTACTGTGGTGTCAGTGGTCTGCTAGCAATGTGGTCCCTGACTGCCCTCTGAGACCCTTACTGAGCTTTTGCCGACTCCCTCTCTTGGATGATTGTTTGTTCTGAGTGGCCTCAGTGCAGAGGGCTACGGTAGAGGTGTGTTTTCAGTACCATTTGTTTGTTTCTCTGTCAGCGAGATTAGGGCTACACAAATACTACCAGGCTGAATTTCCTGAGACTTGATGAACAGACACAGCATGGGGAAAGGAAGAACCCATTAAATTGTGCTGCTTATCCAAATCACCTTTAAAACTGCAAGATAAGGCATCAACCTTTGGTGGAGGATTACACCCTCTGCAAGTTCCCTTCTAGTTTAGATGCGCAGCCTGCATGCAACTTAAAACTGCTGATCCCCCCCCCCAAAATAAATCAGACATGAAGTAGAGTTTGCAGAAATTAGTGCTAAACTGAGAAATTAGTTAACATTTTCTACTTGTTAAAGACTTGTTAGATGCATGAAATAATGCATCAGCTCTACGCACTTTCACATTCTTGATTCTCAACATGAATTCAAAGTCAAATATTTGAATTCTGAAGTTTATACTTGTCCCAGAGAAAGTATTTGTTAACACGTTGGCCTGAAAAATAAAGACATTATCCCTGCAGCACTCTACAATGCTCAGAGGGATTAGCCGAGCATCCCACAGAGACATTCCTCGCATTAAAAAGCACAAGTGAAATGTGGCTGCTATTTACTTTTTGCAGTTTTAAAAGAGAACACCACACAGACTTCAGCTTATTACTGCTTTTAGCGATGGTGTCCAGTAGAGCTTTGTCCTCTCACTTCCTCTCTAAGAAGGCTTCCTAGGGTTTCCATCGCTGTTTGCAAGAACTAACAAAAGTATAAAACAGCCTTGGGGACTCTGCGCCTAAAGCTATAAAATTTACATATAATAAGTGTCCCATTGTGAAAACATATGACAACCTACTCTCTGGGAAGCTGGAAGCATACAGACCTATCATAAGTAAAGGCATAGGAGGGGAAAGAATATAACTTTCTGTCTGTTTTAGTGAAACTAACCTTCACAGAAATATACACACACACCTACACACACAGAACTAGAGAGAGTCTCTTAAGAGGCATAAAGAGGCACTATAGGATTCTGCCCAGAGGAGTAGTGGCCTAAGACAGAAGCTCACAGCCCCTACATAAATGTTTATGAGACCTTTGCTCCTTAGAACCTCCAAGGTGATCAGGAGGAGTGAAGCTGCGGGGAAACAACAATCCGCTGCTCTAATGCAGTGCCACTTAATACAGCTAACCCAAGATGGGCCCAGAGACCAAAGAGGCAGGCAGAGGGACTCTAAATCTCCTCCCTATGAAAGCCACTCAATACACAGACTTTTAGATTACCTTTCCCTGCAAACAGCATTAATAGTATGATCACGCAACGTTCCAAGGCAACCTTCTGCAGCCTTACAAATAAAAACAGACTCTTTTCTGCCATATATTTCCTCTCATCTCATAAAGACACAAAAGCAATATAGTTTAAGTCATGCTCAATCTATTCTTTGCTTTATTCTTTACCTAAAGCACAATCATGCAAGAGAACCATTCTGGTTAATGATCTGCTATATTGGCTGCTTACTTTGCACATGGACAAATGTGGGCAGGACACAAGCACAACTAAGAATGCAGTCAGAATGTAGAAAATCCCATAAATCCGACTCTAAATGAGAACTCTGGGTGACAACTGTCTATGGTTGATCAGCTGTCTATCAAATGGCTGTTGTACATCCCAATGAGAAAAGGATTTAAATGTGAGAAGCTTAAGATATATGAAATAGGATAGAGCTTTAAAAATGATATCTAATGCTCTTTGATCCTGACACGTGAACAATCCCGGCTGTTATGCTCAGACAGGATATTTATGCACAAGACAGGACAGTTCTGCTGAAATAAGATCAAACGGTCTACGACAAATTGGAGTGAAATATGAAAGCACCGCTGGCTGCCGTTTCCACAGTCTAGTCTGGGTTCATGTATACGCTTCTTAGACAGGAAATTGAACCAAAGTCATAACAAACCAACTCCACCCCTTAACCCTTTTACCTTTCGACCACTCCTTACCCACTCAGGGTGCTGGTACATCGAAGAAATCAACACCACCCCCTACCATCTCTCTCTCTCTCTCTCTCTCTCTCACTCAGCGTGCATTGTTAGGTGTTGATTAGGGGAGCTAATAAAAGGACACACAAAGCTGAGCACATCTGCTATTCAGTTAGGATTCTGGAGGTTAGAGAGCAGGCTTCTCCTGTAAAGCTGTCTGTAAGCTTTACGTATGCTCGTTGGAGTGAATAAAGGGTCAGGGCCAGAAAGCTTATGAGGTTGATGATGATGGGTATATGGAAGAGAATGATGTGGGTAGGTGGAAACACAAGGACAAATCCATATTTATGTGGTACATATTTCACACACAGATCAGAATTCAGGTTTGGATGTAAAAATATCTCAAGTCAGCTGAAAAGTGGCCATAGTTAGGCATCGAAATATTTCACCTACAGGTTTGTACCTTCACATTTAAGCAGTGTGAGAGCTTGTGGATAAGGATATCAGAGAAAACATGAAATGTATGATACATGAGCGCACCCACCCCCAAGCCATATTGTTTCTTTTATTATCCATTTGATCTATTACTGACGGGTGCAACTGGCAGCGAGGAGTAGCGCTGCTGCAGAGAAGTCTGCAACGCTCTGCATCAACACAACTCAAACGCTCAAATCATTCTGGTTGGAGAAGAGGCATGGAAGCTACTTTGGGGCTGTTACTCTTGGCCATTGTTACTGTGGGAGACGGTTTTGGTTTTTCAACCCAAGGCTGTCCACTGAAAAATTAAGCAGCACAAGCAAGGATAAAAGACAGTGAGGAGTGGGAGGAGGTAGGCCAGGGTTGCGGCCCTTGCCCGGAGGCTTGTGGGTGGCTGTGTTGGTTTACTGCCTGACAGCATGGATCTTTATTAAACTCTGGGGACAGATGCTGCAGCCTTATTATGGAAAGGAGCTGTGGTGAGCACACTAGAGAGAAGCCCTGCTTGTGGATTCAACCTTTCACAGCCCTTAGAGACATAAGTTTGTCTTTGTCCTCACACTAACTGTGATGAAAGCAGGGTAGCAGCAGCAGGAGCGATGAGCCACCCGGCTGACTAGCTCTCTGGGTTGATGGAGAGTGTCATCACAGACATCCCATGCCCAGAGGCTGATGGAAACAAGCTCAGCCGTAACCACTTATGGATGAGGCGACAGGGAGAAAGATGTGCATGATTTCACTCCTGTGTGTCCTCAGGGTAGAAGCAGAACTGGTCAAAGTCACACATAGGTTTTTCCTCAAATCACACCTCATTTACCTTGCCTTGTCAGAGCGCCTTCACTCTAACCAGACAAAGGAAAACTGCCATCTAACAGTTTCCGCATTCGGTCTCTGATGTGCTTCTCATGTGGAGCGCTGAGGCCAGATATTGCAGGCTGACTCAAATCAAGGGAAGGTCACAGTGATTTGAAATGCATGAGGCCCCTCGCTAGCCGAGACACTTTTAGGCACGCTCCATTGAAAGTAAAATACTCTGGGAAACTATATTTTCTATTCCAGTTGAGCTCAACAGATATTTCCCAGACATAAAAGCGCCCCGTGACCCTCTGCAGCTCCAGCAGAATAAAACAAAGCAAAATTGTACCAACATGTATCGATGACGGAAAAATAAAGTGGAAAGTTCTGACATTCGACAGCCAGCTGCCGGTCAGCTCATATCTGAACAGTTTTAGAGCTGCCAGCACTCGGTGGCATTCTGCTGTCGGTGATTTGCTTTAATACTCGTAACATCTGTGAAGTCATTCACTACTCCTAAGTCCTTTGTGTGCTCACCTCAAGCATCCATTAAACTGAAAGACCTGCCAGGTTAACTCTTAAATTCAGTTTAAGATTTCTACCTTGTTCTTTCAGGTTTTTATTTTATTATCCTGTGAACACTGGAAGCATTCCTAAATACGAGTCAGTACAATGTCGTGCTGCTTATATCTGTCCTCTCACCGGCACCAGTCCTATTTACACATCACAATTCTTAAGTACTTCCTACTGACTTTCTTGTAAAATCAAGACCACACAGCAGCTGCCAAATCTAATGCCCTTTCAACTCCTGACTTTCCCTTCCTCTCCTGCTCTGTAAGGATGTGACAGAGCCACGTCTGTTTACCCAGCCTGAGATAGTGTTGACCTAAACCACACATGGCCTCCTGAAACAGATTGCCCCCCCAATAACCGCAGGAGCCCACTTCAGATCCCAGGTTGAGGACGAGAGCTTCCACCAAGCCCACTTTCCCACAGGTAGCACGGCTAAATCTGACAGCCATGTCGGAGAAAAACGAGCACAGCTGCTGGCCTTGCCCCGAGTGAGCACTGGGCATTAAGGCAGATTACATTCCCAGGATAAAAGCAACCACAGTGGTGTAATCCCTTTCTCGCCCTCCCCTCCGCTCCTTCTCAACTATCCCACCACCTCCACTTCTACGACTCTACTCACATCCCTGAAGGAGCGGAGACCCGGAAGGCCAGCGACTCTGATTAGATATCAGGTAGAGCTTTTAGTGCCACAGCATATCTAGGATACAGACCATTAAATTTAACCACTGCCTGCTCAGAGGCAGAGAAGACAATGACTCAGGATGTCACACTAGCATGCTATTTAACTCTGTGGGAACGCCTTTGGTAGAACACAAAATGGGACGGTTCAACAAATCACATCAAACAGATGCTTGTCCCGTCTGCTGACTCGACAAGATTAAACAAACCTGTAATAAGGCTTTTCCCCAAACAAGGCAACAGTATCTCCAGCAACAAAAGTACACT